ACGCTATAAATGAGTCGAATTATCTTTTAATTTAACAAACGTCCGTTGGGTGGAGTAAAAATCGCAAAAAGAATCTTAGCGACAGTTGAATCTTGTAAACAACTTCAACATATACGTGCGTTTAATCCATCGCTATTTAATCTCGTGTGACATAATTCTTGTGCCTTTAAATAAAATAAACAGTAATTGAACATTCTTGACTGTTCTCTCAAATCCAACTTCCGCAATTGATATGACAAAAAATTATATCCGGACTCGCTACGCTCGTCAGGATAAATAACTCGGTCTTGATAATAATGCGTCCATAGCCTCAAACTTGTGACGTCACTTCAAGTCGTCAAAATCCCTACCTTTGCGCATACCTATGTATCGAAAATAACTAATTATGTTAGAACAAAAGATTATGGGCAAAATGATTTTTTATTTAATTTTTGTTTATTTTGCAAGATGTTAAGAAAATTGCTGAAAGAATAACATTGTTTGTTGGTTTTGATTGATTGTTTATAACCTTTGTCCTGGCTATGGGACCGTGATTGGATTCATGATAACTAATGAGGGTGAAGCATATACTAAAAATTCGATCCTTTATCATATTAAAAAAAAATTACCCTTACCACGTTTATGATGGTAACGAAATGATAAGTTTTTCAGCCATATGCTTCCTGAGTCGAAATATAAATTCCAATTTGAGCCTCAAAATCCTCAGTGAGGTTTTTGAGGGCTAATTTGGAATTTCAAGATAGATTTCAATATGAAAAGTAGTCACGATTTGAACCTCAAAATCCTCACAATATTCTTTAATAATTTTATTATTAAAAATTTTAAATGAATATGGCACTATTGTTTTTTAACAAATCCTCTCTGCATTTTTTAAATAAACAAATGGTTTTATCTGATAAAATAAATTCAAAGTGATCAAGGTGTAAAATTTTTTGGCAGTAGTACAAGTTGTCATATAACATTTTACTAATCAATTTCATCAAAATAAATTTATCAAATTAAAAAAAAAAAAAATTAACTAAAAATTATGTCAATTAAATTAACAAATTTTTGTAACAAGAAGATAGATTAAGAAAATATTAATTAAATTGCTATTCTTTATACACTTTTATTCATGACTATTTTCGAATATTGTACTCATTTTTTAATATTCTAAAATTTATGTGATCATCATAAATGAAACCTTTTTTCAAACGAATTAATAGTTTTTGATTAGTGTTAGTTTAGTTTGTTATGGAAATCTTACGAAAAGTTTTTGAGTTATATTCAAGTATACAAGAAAATTGTATTTTTGATTTTTTAATAACTATTTTTACATAAAGTGGTGACATATTTCTCATGTTATATGTTAATTTGTAAATATAACTCAAATTTTTTTCGGTGAAGCAAAAATTTTCCAAGTCCAAAATACAACTTTTCACTGCATGAGACTTTTGAGGTTGTAGTGAGGATTCTAAATCAACGGGTGGTTCACATTAAGACCTCAAAATCTTCAATGAGGGTTTTGAGTATCAAAGTAGAGTTACTTTCTGTGCGGCAAATATAACATCAAAGGAATTGAGGTTTTTGAGGTTAAAACTAGGATTTGTTTTTTGACTCGGGATTCATTAACTTTTTTTATTCATTATAAATTCGTATGTGTGGTTACAAAATTTTTTTTTAATATTTTTTGTTATAATCTCAGTTAAGACAAAGAAAGAAGTTTTTTTTCACTTAAAATAATTTTGTGGAAGATTATAAAACTTCCCAGTAATATTAAAAATTTCTTCCGATTTCGATGTATTGTTTATGAACTATAAACCTACAATTAAACTTACAAAAATTGACTTGAATCAATAGCGAAATTCTTCAACTAAGATCGTCATTTCGAAGAGTTTAATTATCTTGAATCAAGTAGAAGAAATCCTAAATCAAGTGAATTTTACTTGAATCAACAGCAATTTCTCGGTTCAAGAATTTTTTCACGTGATTCAAGATGATCAAACTCTACAAAATATTATTCTTGATTCAAGGATTTTTCTCTTACGTCAAGTTAATTTTTTTATCAGCGTAAAGTTAAAAATAAACAATCGATGAAAATAAAAAATTTTTAGTATCAAAAAAGGTTAATTAGATCTGAACTCTTTTTGGGTGCAAAAAATGTCACGCCTCTCCACGCACAACAATTTTACATTCAAAAGCTCCCATCAAAATTGGAATTTAAACTATTCCGGAATTCCCAGCAATTCTTATTTGACAGCTTTGCATAAGTACGAAATAACAATGTATACAAGTGACAAAGCGATCTAATTTCCATTTTCGATTCCTAACATCAAAGACGTCTTTTTCTGATATGCACATAGGTGTCATATCAGGATACAGTTTCATTTCATGTGCCAAAGGACTCTACTCGCTTAAGTTTTCTGATGCATTTTGCCGTGTACTGTTCTTTTATATCGATATTGAACCTTCTACACTCTTTTTGTATCAGCCGGAAATTCTATTGTTGATGTCTTGATTTCTTAAACAAAATTGAATTAATTACTGCTAGTAATCTGCATTCACTAAGTAACTGCCAAGAATTACAATTTATAAATAAAAAAATTTTTGTTTAATAATTTTTCGATATTTTTAATCACAATAAGCAAATAATAGTTCGGGTACTTTTGGAATAAATAAAAACAATCATATTTTGGTGACAGGATCAATAAATAATTATATCACGGACAAGTGTTGACGGAAAAAACTTACAGAATCAAAAAACTATTTAAAACTCTTCTAAAATAGTAATACTGTAAATAAATTGACTTGATCGAGAATTCTTAACAGATCCTAACGAACTTTAGTATATTTAGATTCCTTGGACAATAAGCTTGCATGAGCCCTAAAATGAGCGAAATTCGTCAATTAGTTTGGAAATAGTAGCTCTTCAAAATGATCAAAATAGGAGAAATTACGTTTTCGGTGACTTCATTTATGTATAACTTTTGATAGAAAAAAGATAGCTAATTTTTGACAAATTCATGTAAAAGCTCATAAAATTACCTTCAATTTGACGTATATAACATTGACATTTTGACCATTTTTAGTTATTTTATCAAAGTTAAGAGTTCCATCGAACCATTTTCAGGTAATGTGTAGTACAGCCGACTTATGAATTTTATTCTATCGATAATTCTCACCAGATCCTAATGAAACTTGGTGCACATATTCTTTGGGTAATTACCTTGAATGAGTTCTAAGATGAGCGAAATCCGTTTATAACTTTAGAAATGGTAGCTCTTCAAAATTATCAAAATAGTGAAAAATATGTGAAAATCACGTTTTCGGAGACTTCATTTATGTATAACTTTTGATAGAAAAAAGATAGCTAATTTTTGACAAATTCATGTAAAAGCTCATAAAATTACCTTCAATTTGACGTATATAACATTGACATTTTGACCATTTTTAGTTATTTTATCAAAGTTAAGAGTTCCATCGAACCATTTTCAGGTAATGTGTAGTACAGCCGACTTATGAATTTTATTCTATCGATAATTCTCACCAGATCCTAATGAAACTTGGTGCACATATTCTTTGGGTAATTACCTTGAATGAGTTCTAAGATGAGCGAAATCCGTCAATAACTTTAGAAATGGTAGCTCTTCAAAATTATCAAAATAGTGAAAAATATGTGAAAATCACGTTTTCGGTGACTTCATTTATGTATAACTTTTGATAGAAAAAAGATAGCTAATTTTTGACAAATTCATGTAAAAGCTCATAAAATTACCTTCAATTTGACGTATATAACATTGACATTTTGACAATTTTTAGTTATTTTATCAAAGTTAAGAGTTCCATCAAACCATTTTCAGGCAATGTGTAGTACAGCCGACTTATGAATTTTATTCTATCGATAATTCTTACCAGATCCTAATGAAAGTTAGTATACAAATTCCTTGGATAATTAGCTTGCATGAGCCTTAAAATGAGTGAAATCCATCGATTAGTTCAGAAATAGTATCTCTTCAAAATGATCAAAATAGTAAAAATTACGTTTTCGGTGTCTTGATTTATTTATAACTTTTGATAGAAAAAAGATAGCTAATTTTTGACAAATTCATGTGAAAGCTCATAAAATTACCTTCAATTTGACGCATATAACATTGACATTTTGACCATTTTTAGTTATTTTATTCATTTTTAGTTTTTTAAGTTAAGAGTTTTATCGAACCACTTTCAGGCAATGTATACTCCAAACGACTTATGAATTTTATTCTATCGAGAATTCTAACCAGATTCTAATGAAATTTAGTATACAAATTCCTTGGACAATTAGCTTGCATGATAATAATAAAAATAATAATAATAGAAAAGAAACAGGGAAAAGTTCAGTTTGAATTTTTTTTTTTTATTATTGAAATAATTGAAATAATTCGAACTTAAATATCAAGTAAAGATTAATATTATTAGATTTTTAATTTTTTTGTTCCGTATCTTTCATCCATGTTGGTAACTTCCACTTCTGTGTAGGAGTTTATTTTGTTCCGTATCTTTCATGCGTGTTGGTAACTTCCACTTCTATGTTGGAGTTTATCAGCTCAGCCAACGACATCACGCTACCGTCAATTTTTCGAATATCTTCGATCGTTTCAATCATGATGTACAGAGAATCTAATAATTTAATATCCTCGTTAAGAAAGAAATTCGGGAATGCGTTGACCCTATAGACCATTCCCGTAACTTCCCGCTAAGCGTTCGAAATTTTTCAACATTTTTTAAATTCTATAACTCTCGAACGGGTCAACCGATTTACACATTTTTTACAGCGATCAATGTAGTTTCCTAAGCTCTATAAAAACTTTAAAACATTAAAATAATTTTCCAAAAATTTCAGAAGAATTTTGAAAAATTTCATTTTTAAAAAAATTTTTTTTCAACGATGTCTCACGAACAATTCAAATGATTTTGACGTTTTTTTGGCGGTGATCGACGCAATTTTTTTAATTCAAAAGCTGATTAGTTCTTAGAATTGATCAGTAGAACCGTTTGAAAGTTATTCTAATAAAACAATTTTTTTAAATTTATGTTTTTGAGATTTCTTAAAGTATTCCGTCCCGAATCGTTCGAAACTATGTAGAAAATCTAAGTTTGATGAAGCTCCTTCTGGTAGTTTTCCAACTACAGCACTAGAGCGCATAATGCGGCATTGTGCGCAGCTTAGAGTGTTCCAATAACAGCAACGCTTCGCACAGTTGGACACTCAAAAAACCTGAGTCTTAAAACAGTCTTGGTCTATGTCAGGTTTAAGATCTTGAACAAACGGCAATTTTAAAACACTTTAAAGACGATTTTTTTTACACGGGTACTTTTTTAATAAAACATAATATTTTATAATTTAGCATTTTATTGTACTTTTTACCTTGTTTTACTAGTTTTATCCTTAAAATTAAAAAAATTTATAAAATTTTAATTAAAAAAAAAAAACATTTACTCAGAATCGATTATTTAAAAGAATCGATTCTTGAAATTGATTAATCGATTCTGAGAATCGAAATTTCTGAAAAAAGAATCGGAATCGAGAATCGATTCTTCAGCTTATGTTTCCATCACTTCTACAGCACTAGAGCGCATAATGCGGCATTGTGCGCAGCTTAGAGTGTTCCAATAACAGCAACTCTTCGCACAGTTGGACACTCAAAAAACCTTTGCTCAGGGATGTTTTGCGTGAGAGTTACCAACGAGTCTACATAAAATTAAAAGTATTTTTTTTTGTATTGAGTTGGTATAATTAATGTTTATTTTATTATCTATCAAAGTTATTATTTTTGACAATTGTAAGTGTATTTTATTATTGTTGATAAATAATTATTATTGCAATAAAATTAAATATATACAATAACACAAATTATATTTAACTATCATATTTTTATATCTAATATTTAATTATTGATGACTAACTTAAGCGAATTTATATTCTTTCTATTCTTTTATCTTTATAAAATGAAATCATTTTTTAGATTTTTATATTTGTAAGCATTGTCATGATATGATTTTGAATTAGCTGTTTAACATGAATGTTTTCAAAGATTTTAAAGATTTAAATATACAGGTAAACAAATATTTAGATTTTTAGATTGCCAAACTTTCGAATTTTTGTTCAAAACGAAGCAATACCAACGCAATCTACTGCTGCATTTCTTAACTAATCTGTTTCAATTAAACTTGTGCTAATGCGGCACCGTGCGGCACTGAGTCGCATTGTGCTCTCGTAATTGGAAAACTACCTCTATCGCCATCAACGGCGTTTAAATTGATCAAGCCGTTCAAAAGTTATGAGAGGTTTACACACACACGCGCGACATCTGGACACAACCGCGTGAAAAGTCATGATAGATTCCTGGGACCTCAAAACGTGAAGATTGATGAAAAGCGATTTTCGAAAAATGGTGTGAAAACTTCCCGATAAAAAAATTGAAAATTTTCGATAAATCAGAAAATTTAAAAAAATATGTCTTTCGTAATTTTGAATTTTCTGGTTAAATAAGGGCTGTAAAATAATTCTTACTAAAAATTTTTTTAACCACTCCAATGACCTCAACATGATCACCTTTGTTAAATCTATTAATAAATGGCAACTCAAAATGAATTATTTTTGCTTCCAATTTAAATTTTAATTTATTGGCTAGAGAACCTTGGCAAGTTGATGTATTATCGATTCTATTCTTCACGATGTCAAAATTTGTTTTAATGTAACCTTGAAGTCCTATAAATTTACGATAAGTTTAAATTTATCTAGTTACTTTTTCAGAAAAATTCTATCATTCAAATAAATGTAATGGAGTGGAAAAATATACTTCTTTTAAAATGTACTTAAGGTAATACGAGCACCAAGGCAACTTTTGATAAAAGGCTTGATTTTTTTTTTAGTATGAAGTTTAAATATGTCTAAGTAAATTCCGAAAATTTGAAGGAAATTTCCCGATTACTTAAATAAAAAATAATTAACTTAAAATTTAAGCAATTTAAGAATGGTCTTATGGAGTAATCTCCAAACATTGATAAATTTCTGTATTTTTCTCGTAAAACTGTCGGTGAAAATTTTTAAAAAACTTATGGATGAAAAAAAATATATTAGTGATAAATTTAATTTAAAGAAATTGACACTTTCTTGACTAATTAAAGTGTATTAATCAAAAGAAAAATAAATGCCGCCTAGCGCTCGTACTTCCTTAAACATTCCTATACATTTCATAAAAAACATCCGGTTAGCATGAAATACATACGAATTTTCTCTCTTAAGTATTGATAGCATTCGTTAATCTGTACTACAGGATAATCATTGTCGTCTTCGTTTTCTTGATGATGTACATTTTATATTTCTAGCAAATAATTATTTTTTTAATTTATAAATTTATTATTTTTATTGCTGTTTGTAATTTTTGTTGTTTGATAATTTTTTATTTAGTTAATCTTTTGTTTTTATTACTATGCTATGAAGTTGGTTTCTTTTAAATTTGGTTTAGAAAACGAATTAATTTAATCAAATCATTTTTATAGATTGATAATTAATAAATAAAAGGATTAGTTAATGTTTATATATAAAATTATTTATACTACTCCAATTTTTATTTATTTCAATCGTAATGGACTCTATATTACCTTTCTAAATAATTATTTTAAACATAATTGCTATCATTATAAAGTAGTAATTTTGAAGATTGTAAATATCCGGGGTCGGAGTTAAATCATTAACCAAAAACCAGAATATTAAATTTTAAATTATTAGGTAGATTTGTATTTATTGATAAATTTTTTTAAGTTTGTATGTTTTGAAAAATTAAAAAACAATGTGCAGTGAAAATTGTCAATTAGTATATTATCACAATGATTTCGAAATTAGCTCGATTTAGATTCAACAATTAATGTATCTGTTTTCAAGGAAGATCTTACTATAAGTCCAGTAATTCTTGATAGGAAAGACAAAAATGAAGAGAGAGAATCAGATTATATTCCAAACAAGTCAATGCTATTACTACTACTACTACGACTACCACACAGAAAAAAAGGTGCATTTGAGCCAAGAAAATATTTTTCTTCCTAATTCTTCCTAAAAAAAAATTTTTTTTTTAACACAAAAAATTTCACTTATTCCTACAAAATTAATTCTCTTGCTTTAAGAAGTACGTATCTTGATCCAAGAAAATTTATTTAAATCAAGAAAATCTTCTTGTTTTGAAAAAATTCAGCTTCTTGCTCCAAAAAATTTAGTTCTTGATGCTGTAAGCAAAATTTCTCTTTTGCTTCAAAAAATTAAATATCTCGATAGTAGTAAATTTTTATTGATTAACATGTCAAATGGGAAGATCAAATAACACTGAATCATTTTTTTTATTCAATATGTATAATTGCACGCTAAAATAATATAAAATGGGTATTAAATATTCAAGCTCAGCTGAAGCAGGTGGTGCTGCTTCCCTAAAGTATCTAAAAATCTTGATCAAATATAAAAATTTATTGTATCAAGTATTTATGATAATTTGAATTAAGAAAAAATTACTTCCTCCAAGAATAGAATTTAAAAAAAAAATTTTACTTCGGCCAACACAACTTCGGTCTTCCTTCAGGCACCCAAAAATTTTCTTAAGCCAAGAATTTTGGTCTCCAGTCAAGAAATTTTTTTTTCTGTGTAGAAGCACAGAGTCTGGTATAAAAATATCAACATTAAGGGAAAAGATTATTTCACAAAATTCGACTAATGATTTGTTTATCAATTTAAGTAAAGATTTTTTAATAAAATTATACAAAATAAGTAATTAAAAATTAAACATTTTGAATATCAAAACCGTATCTTCTTCAGTAATAATTAAATCATCCTAAAAAGAAAATTTAATCACTTTTTAATTTTTTGTTTTTCAATTCATTATCAGGATCAATAATGACATTTTTGTTGGCTTCAATAAGCTCAATTAATGACATTACATCATCGTCGATTTTTTTTATGTCCTTTAATGATTGAATATTGACAGTGGTATGATCTAAAAAATTCAAAATTAAACCAACGATATTTTTATTTCAACTGTTAATTAATATTGAATCACTCACGATAAGAGATATCAATGATACCAATAACTTCAACATGTTGACCTTTTGTGAAGTGGTTGGTAAACGGAATTTCAAAATTAATAATTCTTGCTTCAATTTTCCACTTGAACTTATCTACTAGAGATCCGCAGCAAGAATTGATGTTTGTTTTTTTATTTCTAATTATGTCAAAATTAGTTTTTATATAAAGCTGGAGACCTAAAATTTTTTTGAAAATATAAATTTATCATTATAGTAATAATAAAAGATAATTTTCAGTTTAAAGTTTTATAGGATTCTAATTATATAATTAAAATAGTTAATATTTATTTTATTTAATTTGATTTTCTACATAAAAACTTTTAGTCAAGAAAATTTTTTTAATTTAGGAATCTCTTACTTTAATTAAAATAATTTTCATTTATAAAAATATTATTTGAATAAAAAAAGTATTTGATCAATAGCAAATTATTTTTTTTATTCATGCATAATTTTTTTTATTATAAATTTGTTGTGAATAATAAAAATGATACGCACGAATCTTTTTGTTTAAATGTTGAAAACAATTCGCAAGATCAACTAAGGGGTAGTCCACCGTTTCGTCGTCTACTTCTTCACTCAATATATGTTCTCTTAGGATTGATATTTTAGTATTCGATTGGATTATTAATTCAATTGGAACAGTCCCATCATTATATTTAATACCTCTTTCGTCGATCGTTTTTTAATAGGATCCATCTATATGAATTACCTATAGTAAAACATGAATATTATGAATTAATAGAAGATTTGTAAATAAATTAATAAATTAACGAAAATGTTCGAGTGTAAATATAGAAAATTTTATACAGAGCCGATTTTTATATCGTTAATAATGCGTTCGATGTCATCTTCCCACGATGTTACTTGAATTTTATCACTTTTATTATTTTTTATAACAAATTTGAAAACCGTAGATTCTTTTTGTACTTTTGTTAAGAATACTTTTCTGGGTGCTACAATTTTGATAATAACTCCAATAATTTCTCTATAAATAACAATAATATTTCATTATTTTTTTTAAGTAATCTAGGGTAAATGCACCAGTTG